CACCTTCAAAGAGCTCTTGAAATATTGCATCATTGTCATAAAAACCTATGAGATAGGAAAGTATTAACCCTCATTTTAGAGATGGAGACACTTAGGCAGAAAGGTTAAGTGACTTGCTCATGGCCACAAAGTGACTTGGTGTCATACCTGTATTAGTGCACACGAGTTACTCTTAGTCTTGTGCTTAATCAGTTGGGGTTCTCACACAGTGGTTTGTGGAATACTTGGTGGTAGTCTATATGGGAAGCTGTCAGGTTGCGCACACACACTTTTTGCTCTCGGTTTCTAGCTCAGAAAGGAGCTGAAATGTAGAGCATAAATAGATAGTGTGATTCTTTTCAGGAAGGCCATGACACTTAGCTGCTTTCAAATTGCTACAAATTCTTTCCTGATAATCTCTCTAAGTAAGCAGTTGCCACAGGATTGGTAATTGTAAGTAGGGAGGGACAGAGGTGATCTGTGCTAACAAGAGTGGGAGAAGGGAGGTGGCATGCAGGTAGCCCATACAGCCACATATCATTTTCCTTGTCAGAATGGACGGGAACTGAAGCTATGGGCCTGAGTCAGTGCTGCTTCTAGCAGTGTTAGATAGCAGGTATAATTCACTGAAGCTATCCAAGCATGGAGGAGATTTACAGTGGTCTCCAACCTTTTTAAGCACGAGATCACTTTTTGAATTTAAGTGCAATCCAAGATCTACCTCAAACCTAAATACCCCTGCCTCCTTCTGAGGCCCCACGCCTGCTCACTCCATCCTCTCTCTCTCCCCCCCACCCCCATCCTGCCTCCTTTTCATCAGGCAGGGGCAGAAGATTGGGGTGCAGGCTCTGGTCTTGGATTAAGGGAGTTAGAGTGCGAGAGGGGCTCTGAGCTGAGCTTGGGGCAGGCAGTTGGAATGCTGGAGGGGATTCTAGGTGCAGGCTTTGGGAGTGTTTTTGGATGCAGAGAGGCTGTGGCAGAGGCTTGGGGTGCAAGAGCAGCTTGGGGTGCAGGAGCAGGTTCATGACAGGTGTAGGGTTTCAGGACGTGGGCTCTGACTGGGCACTGCTTACCTCAGGTGGCTCCTGGTTGGTGGTGTAATGGGGCTAAAGCAGGCTCACCCCTGCCCTGGCCCTCTACCACTCCCAAAAGCAGGCAGCAAACTCCATCCCAAGTCCTGTTGTGCCCCCTCTCTGCTCTGTGAAGATGGGATACAGGGTGGGAGAAGGGGCATCTTGACATCAGCCCCCTCCTCTCACTCTGCTCCTGGGAGGGGGGAGGCAGTTCCAAGGCAAAGGGCAGGAGGTGCGCAGCAGTGTGGGAAGAGGCAGCTGAAGTGCTGGCACTTCATAGCCTCTTGGCCAAACCAGTCAGGATCATCTGTTAGAGGCTCCAAGATCTACCAGTAGATCACGATCTACTGTTTGGTTACCACTTGAGTAGAATATATGAAGCAGAGTAGCAGGTCTCCATCTCTACTCTCTATCCAGATGTGCCTCTTGCTGACCTAGGGAGCCCCAATTTCAAGTGTTAGCGCACAGGGATTTCAGCAGGCTGCTGGAATTGCAGGTATATGGACTTCTCTAAGCCTGTACATTTAAATGCCAAAATACCAAGAGCTAAATAAATAGATGATTAAATAAATAAATAATCCTCCATTGCATGTGAGCAGTCATTCCCTTCTCCCTGCAAGCTAGAATTTCATATGCATGTTTAGTACATAGTATATCACATACATGTCCAGTGACTGGAAAGCAAGTGAGAACAGGCATACTCACATGTAATTTTAATATTAGGCTAACAGGTAAAGGATATACATTATTAATGGCCTCTTTGCTAAGCTCATAGGCCAAAATGCACATTTGTCACATAGACAATTTAATTACAAAGTGCTGGATTGACTCAGACATCCATGTTGGCTTCTTTCTTTCTAGAGGTCTCTGTATGGATACTCACAAACACACTCTCCAACAAATCTTAGAAGAAACAGGGCCCAGATCCTACATGCCCATGGCAGAGATTTTTATCTCTTTAACCACAAAACTTCAGTTGTCAATACCTTTAGCTAGATCTTCTCTTTTGAAACTGCACTTCGGGTTTTGTTGATATGATCACAAGAAGGAAACAGATAACTAAGTGCTGATTTTCCTTAAGAATACAAATACGGAGATGCATCATGTATTCCACTATTTATAATTTAAAAGACAACCTATGTTAACGCTGTACTGTTAATGCCTTAGAAGTGACAATGCAAAGGTTATCCATACATCTTTATCTCTTCACCATGTCGATATGCACTATCTGACCATATTTAATAACATGATATTATTTCTCAACAATATCATGCCATTAATTCTAGAATCTAAGCGGTGTAGCAGCATATTGTAATTTCTTTCAATACTCAAATATTTAGCACATCAGTGTGATGTGCTCAAGAGCAGGATTTCTCATTGACCAGTGCTGGCCCTTTGAATCTCCTTGACACAGTTTAGGAAGGCAATAAGATGGTCCCTAGTATTAAAAAGATTGAGAAACACTGGCTTTAGAGCAGTGGTCTCCAACCTTTTTAAGCACAAGATCACTTTTTGAATTTAAGTGCAATCCAAGATCTACCTCAAACCTAAATACCCCTGCCCCCCGCCTCCTTTGTGCCCCTTCTCTGAGGCCCCACGCCTGCTCACTCCATTCTCCCTCCCTCCCCCATCCTGCCTCCCTTTCACTAGGCAGAGGCAGAAGGTTGGGGTGCAGGCTCTAGTCTTGGATTAAGGGATTTAGAGTGTGAGAGGGGCTCTGAGCTGAGCTTGGGGCAGGCAGTTGGAATGCTGGAGGGGATTCTAGGTGCAGGCTTTGGGAGTGTTTTTGGATGCAGGGAGGCTGTGGCAGAGGCTTGGGGTGCAGGAGCAGGTTCATGACAGGTGTAGGGTTTCAGGACGTGGGCTCTGACTGGGCACTGCTTACCTCAGGTGGCTCCTGGTTGGTGGTGTAATGGGGCTAAAGCAGGCTCACCCCTGCCCTGGCCCTGTACCACTCCCAAAAGCAGGCAGCAAACTCCATCCCAAGTCCTGTTGTGCTCCCTCTCTGCTCTGTGAAGATGGGATACAGGGTGGGAGAAGGGGCATCTTGACATCAGCCCCCTCCTCTCCCTCTGCTCCCGGGAGGGGGGGGAGGCAGTTCCAAAGCAAAGGGCAGGAGGTGCGTAGCAGCAGGGGGAGGGGTAGCTGAAGTGCAGGCACTTGATAGCCTCTTGGCAGAATCAGTCAGGATCACCTATCAGAGGCTCCAAGATCTACCAGTAGATCACGATCTACTGTTTGGTGACCACTGCTTTAGAGGTTAGGCCACCCTGAACGAGAGCCTATTCCATTCTGAGCTACTGACCTGCTCTCTGACCTCAGGCAAGTCATTTCACTTTTCTAAGTCTGTGTTTTCTCTCCCACACTTATATGTATTGTCTATTTTGATAATAAGTTTTTGGGTAGGGACTGCCCCTAGCACAATATAACCATCATCTCAGCAGGGGCCTGTAGCTGTTCCCATAATATAAACAAATAATACTTGACTTAGGTACAGGTTCTTTTCTATCTTTTCAATCCTGCAAACTTCAGCCTACTATTAACTTTTCTTACTAAATATCCCTATTGAAAAGGGATTAAAGTTACTAACAGGGGTTTTTCAGAACTCAGCCTTCCTGGGGTATAAATTAGAGGAGGGGCCAGTTAAAAAAGCTCGTTGAGCTTGGAAAAAAGTCGGATGACCTATATGTGTCAGCTAATTTTCTTTTTTATTCTGTAGTATTTTGTGTAAGAAAGTTAACAGTGTACTCTTCATATAATTTCCTTTAATGGTCTACCTAACTGGCATGCATTGTTCTGCACAGATACACAAAAGACTGAAAAATACTGTTATATTTGAAAACTTCTCTAATTAATCAGCTAATGGGCATACACAAGGCACTTTACATGCGTAATCTTAACTCTTTTTGACCATTTTGTGCTTCATTGCAATTCTACAGTCTCTTAAGTTTTTTTTTTAAACAACTTTTTAGGCAGGGTTTGTTGTTTTTGTTTCTTTTCTTTTTTAAGAAAGAAGAAAGCTAGTAACAATACCTGTGTTCCTGTGATAACATGGAACTATTTGGCTGGACAATTAGTACCAGAATATTTTTAATATAAATACACAAAATGTACACTTCAGCCATCCTGTAAAAAAAAAACAGCTAAATTGTTTGGGGTTTTATTTTGTTTTGTTTCGCATATGAATGCATGGTGGGGGAGGGACAACTGATAATTTCCCAAAAGATTCACCTTTAGGTACAAAAGAAGTCTGGTACTGTAATTCAGTCCAAAGGTGTAAATTCTAAACCAATGATAAACAAAGTTTCAGAATACCTACGCAGCCTTAACACGGTCCATGCCCCCTGTAAAATATTCCCAGCCTTTCCTCTTTCTGGAAATGCTTGTTTTACTCTGGAATAGTAACCGGGCTCTATTCGATTTGGTTTTCATTAGTCTAGTGATATCTTTACAGGGATGAAAGACATTTAATACACTGATTATAACTCAGACTTCCTCTCTCCCCCAAGTTACATCTGCTACAAGGAGACTCCTCTTGTTTAAAGAGCTGCAGGTTCTGATATAAAACAACTAAAGCCCAGCAGCAAAAAGGGGAGTTTCCAATGCACCGATGCTGGCAGGAGCACTGCAGGAGTGACAGCCTGGACTGGAACTTGCTCCTATTTAAACGTGAGGTCTATTTAAACATGATACTTTTACAGATGAGTTCTTAGGGCACCCCTGTCCCCGGGGGAAGGTATCTCACTGACCCCCCAAGTTACAAACGGGTCCCTTTGTGGTGCCAGGCCCAGGAAGAACTTAGATCTGGTTACGGGTGATTTATGGGCAAGCCCCCGACCCTCTGCCGCCTCCCATCAGCCCCGCTCCGCTCCCAGGCTCTGCCCCTCCAGATGGCGCTCAGGGGCCGGGGTGCTAGAAACACACCACCGGCCGCCCTCTCCCGCTCACCTGTTTTGAACTCCAGCGTGCGGTCCTTCTCGCCGTCGCCCAGGTCGCCCTGCAGCATCACGTACAGGATCCCGAAGGAGTTCTGGATGCCGAAGATGGACCCGTTGCACCAGGTGGCGGCGAAGACCACGATCCACCCGAAGCCGCCTTCGGGAGGCTGGAAGCCCGGCTCGGCCCCCTGCAGCCCCTTGGCCCCGGCTGCCTCGCCATCCTCCTCTGCCTGGGGCCCCTTCTCCTCGGACAGCGCCTGTTCCTGCTTGTGCCGCGCCATCTCGGCCGGGCTGGGGCAGGGGCTGCA